AGAGAGATCTGAAATGGAGTTATCCAGTTGCAACTCTCTAAATTGTAACCATAATGATTAAAAATTGCCATTTTAGTAATAAATATAATTTAGATAAAAGATAACTTGATTTAGGAAAAAAAAAAGTCATCATCTCTGATAATTGATTAAGAAGAAACAAAACTGGAGTAAAACATATTAAAATTGTTTCCCTTTTCTGGTCGCTCTAATAATTGCAGTACCAAAATATACTTAAAAACTCCACCCTTGAACAGGTTTAAATGTACTGAGTTCTCTTTTTAGCACAACACTTGCAGTCAAACCAGTACTGACTCTTTAACTCCTAAGATCTCATTAGCAATTCTCCTTACTGTTTACCATACAGTCCTTGTGATGTTAGTTTGGAGAATTTGGTATTGGATCAACTTTCAATCCCCTAATCGATCTTTTTCTCTATTCTTGTCGCTTGTCTGCTTGATATTGTATTAATATTGTAAGGAGAAATTCTGTCTTGGTCATTCATAGGAGTTAAAGGGTTAATGTTATGGAGAATGGTGGGGTGACCATTAAATACAAGTTGACAGCTTAACACAGGATGACCAGCAAATGACTTGCATGATCTTTATGCCTAATATTTGTCCTAACAATCCAAAGAATAGACTAAGATATCTGCAATGCATTGAAGACATTTGAACCAAAAGTACTGATTGATTCTGGGAGATAAACAGGGATTAATTTATATGAGGGATTATCCTTACTTCTCTTTGAGCCTGGTTTGGTTTGATCGGACTATTCATTTCACGTGAAAGACAATACAAACAGACCATTGGGACTCAGTCAAGGATGACCATGACCTTATAATAGTGGCCATTACCTGATAAAGGAGAAATTTACACTACCTCATGAAAAAAAGAATTTCAGTACTTTGACAACCAACTGCTTAACCTCTTGACTCCTGTGAGTGACCAAGAGAGAATTTCCCTCTACAAAGTCTATTCAATTTCAAGCACAAAAGTGATGGGATTAAAGAAAAATATATAGATTAGGGAATCACTAGCTGATCCAATATCAAATTCTCAGAACTAACATTATAAGAATTATATGGCAGACAGTAAGGAGAATTACTAAATAAATGTAATCTTGGAAGTGAAAGGGTAAATACAGTGCTGTTCAATACAGGTTTGACTGTTGTGTGTTTAGGGTTTAAGTGCTTAAGATCCATTCACCATATGCAATGAATCAACAAAACCTTTTTCATAGCATTTCACATAATTTTTTTAAAGAGATTTAAGCTGCACAATAACAGGTTAGTGATATTTCACACTGGACTCAATATAATAAGTCTGATTGGTAAAGAACATTCAATCAACACAACATCTGCAGTGGATACTGCATTTATCATGTCAAGTTCAAAGTATAAGAAATTTTCAGGCCCCTTTTCAGTGTAGTTTTCCCAGACTTTTGCAAACTCAGAGAGAAGTGTCTTTTTAAGGCAGATTCTTTAAAAAATATATAACACAGTTATTGAATTTAGTTCACGCAAAACATTATGAATTATCAAACCTCCTGTCTGTGTTACATGTATCTGTCTCAGCCTTCTGCTTTGGCAGATAACTCAGACCTCGGTTTGGATTATGCATGAGATTAACCTCATCCAATAATTGCTTAGTGGATGTTGAAATATTCAAATATCTCTCTTGGAGTCTGTTAGAATAAAAGAAAAAGGGTCATCTCAAAGATCTATAATCATGCATTGCTGCAAGTTATCCTTATGCTTCATGCATATTCATAACCACCAAATATTCCTGCAGTGTAACTCTACATTATAATGCACCAGTTCCTAAATTTATCATCCCTTGGAAAAGAAAAATTGGGTGACATGCTTCAAAGTCACAGGGACCCACCTGTAAATATTACTTACAAATAGTAGTTTGAAAACTAACGATACCCTTTTGCAAATATCACTGACTAAATTAATGATTGATAAAGAAGTGCTTGAAAATTTTTTATTCTAAATTTGTAGTTGATAAATTTGTAACAGGCTATTTTAAGAAAGGTACTTTCATAGTCACAGCACAGAAGAAATTTCACAATTCAAAATGAAATCTTGCTTTTGAAATGTTAAGTTTAAACAGCTAAATTTGATTTGACTTTTATAGAAAGTGATATATTTCAGAATGTGTGATAACGATCATGCCTCTTAAGTGAGTGCTTCGATATGTTGTAGGGAAAAGCAGAAATCCAGAGGAGTTAGTTTCTCCAATAACTTCTTGTACGGGAAAGCAGCTACCCTCTTGGAAACCATGCATAATATGCTAGCCCTTTTATAGAGTAGTATGTTGATAAAAACACACAACTCTTTAAAAATTGCATACACTCAGCTCACCAAAATATTTCACTGACAAAATGAACATTTAAGTATTGCTTCCCCTTTTTAAAGAAATATTCAAACTGTGAGACTAATAATAAGTGCATCAAAAAAAGGAAATACAAATTTAAATTAAAGGAGTAAAAAAATCATATTTTAGTCAACTCGTTTGGGAACTTTCAAAAACATTTCCTCTTGCCCATGGAAACTTTGTGAGCATTCACTTTTTGGATCAATATCAGTATCTGGGCAACCACCCACCTACCTCTCCCCTAAGCCAACAACAGTCAATTGATAACAAGTTAGGGTTAATGTTGGGTTAGGGGAGGGGTAGGTGGGCAGTTGCCCAGATACTGATATTGATCCCACTTTTTTAAGTCCACCAGCTACAAACACATTTCTAGAGTGACTACCTTTTAATTTCTAAAAGCCCTGAATCAAACATTGAGGTCAAATGAGAAAAAGGAAATGATCACCAACAAAAGAGGGTCTTCATTGTCAAACAGAGTCTTGTTGACAGTACCATAGTAAATGTATAGAGAACAGTATTATGGAGAATATGTATACTGATGTTTGGATGCAATAAGCTAACATCGCAAAACAAATGCAAAAAATATCTGAATTTCCCACTAAACGTTTAGAATGTTTCAAACAGGCTACAAGCTTACTTAGAAGCAAAGCATATAACTTGAGTTATGAATAAACTGGATGGAGAAAACAATTTTCCATGCAGTTTTCGACTTTTAGTCCTATTATGCTCACCTACAACACACATGGTCTCCATTTTGGTCTTCTCCAACCAGTGTTGCTATTGTTCCATCCTAAGACCACAATACAAAAAAAAAATATATAATCTGAGAGGCAGCTGATATTCGAATTGCCACCTTCCGCCTGGCTTTGTATTAAAAATAACAAGATTTGTCCATCATTGCCTCTGGCCACGTCGCCATTTTGGCTTTACTTCACTTGTGCCCAGTACTTCTCGATAAAACGCGTCACGCTACACGCGAAATTGCAGGTCAACACGCAAATCACCTAGGGATTCCTTAATTTTACGGCTCATGGCCAGAGGGATAGGATTAATACGGGTTTCTCGAATATTTATGACAGGACATCGTTTTGATTCACGGACACGAGACTTTGATATTACTATATTCACGAGCGAGCGAGTCTGGGAGACTAAAGGCATTAGGATTTTAGTCACTCTCTTAGCTTGGTTTTTCGGTTTTGGTTTTGTTGCGGTTTGCGGATTTTCCCCTCTTTCAGCATTTTTTTTTTTTTGGTCCTCGGCCAAAAAAAAAAAATCCAAGAGGTCTTTCGGAACTGGTATACAATAATTTCCTCTTTAGAACTGGTAAGTTCCCGGTGACGATTAAAAAATGTAGCAAAATGTATCTGTTTGTTTCGTCTGTGTAACCGCACGTTATACCATTTTACTGTCAATTCAAGCTACACGTAACTGATTACTAACCATTTCAATTCAATCTTGGAATTTGAGTTTAGGTTCTCAAAAATTTCGGATTTTCGGGAGGTTCTCAGTGCCGAAGGTTATACTTTTGCGATCGCAAAACTCCTCTAGGATGGGGTATCGTGGTTATGTAGAGGACTGTGGCTCTTTTTCTCAATTCAAAAGGACATTAGAAGACGTAGGGCTGATAATATAATTTATATTTTGATACATATATTTTTCGACTTTTCGCTGCAACAGCAGTGAGTAAAAGGCATTAACATGCGTTATTGACATGTTTCTATTAATACTATCGAATTAACAGGAGTATCTATAAGAAAACAATAACTGCTGGAAACACCTGCCGGTCACTTCAAATCTATTCCCCCCTTCCCCCATCCATGAAGAGTATTTTTAATTCCGGCATTTAGCAACGGAAAAAATGGACATTGCACCCTTAAATCTTTGTCTGTGTCCAGGGCTTCTGAGCATGAATAATTTTGCGTTGGAGTTCTAGTCTCAAATTTCTTCGTAGTTCATCCTCCTTTCTCTTGTAATTAAGCTCTATTGCATTTTTCTCGCCCTCAAATATTTTAGCGAGTTCATCTTTCTGAATCCTCAAACAATCCAGTCCTTCCTTGAGTCCATCTATACTCTGGAGCAGGTAAGCTCGTTCATAAGCATACCTCGCTCGACATTCGTCTTCGGTAAGTTTCCTAACCGTCATTTTGTCTTGTTCGAACCTCTCTGTCATCTCGGCTTTTTCTCTTTCAAATGATTTCAACAAAACTTCTTCTTGTTTGCGTAGCACGCTCAGAAGTTCTTCACGATCGAGGTTCGTGTTACCATCGCAACTGCCTTCTCCTTGAACTTCGAAATTTCCGCGCTCTCCTGAGCTTGCACCCAGGCCCTTTAGACAATCACAGCAGCCCGGATGTTGGAGCGCATCTCGATGGACATGTTTAGTAAAAAGATCGAACGATTTCCTAAGATGGCGGAGTTCATTCAGAAAAAAATCCTTCTCCTCGGTGAGAACCCGGATGAGGTCGTCTTTTGTCTTAATAATCTCGCTGTATTCATCCCTCAACTTGGTTTCAAGGTGGTCTTTCTCTTTAATAAATGCTTTTTCCATTTCTTCTCTCGCTGGGTGAAACTCATCTTTCAAAGCCTCCAGCTGTTGATGCAAAGTTTCATAAAATTCTGTTTGACTTGAAGAATCTTCTGTTTTTGACTTTGCGTGTACGGCTTTTTCAACACAATCTCCGCCTTCGTTATGATTCTCGGCATCCTCTCCTCTTCTCGAATCGTTATCGTCGGATTTACAATCAGCTTTCAGCTTCTCCATTAGCTGACGGACTTTTTCTGACTCTTCCCCGCTGTAGCTGTTCCAGAGGAGGTAAATATCTTGAAGAAAATCTTGCCAAAGACTACGGTGTGTCGGGGAAAGCTTAAAACCCGGGACGCTTTCAAGTTTGGGGAACGAGCTCTCCTTGCGAAAATTTGATTCCCATCGGAATTCACTTCATCATAGTCAATATTTTGCAAGAAGCTGCAAACGACAGCAGGTGTTAAAATAAGTCTTCAAGGTTCTTCGTTGCCCTTTGTGTGAAGTAAAAAATACCTGTATTATTAAAGGGATAATTTGCGTAAATGACAAACTCCCCGACTTAGCAACCATCGAAAGCGACAGAATCCCCTTATTAAATTTTCATGAAAAGTAGTTTGGAAGGCCGTCTCGTTATAAATTCTATGCTCTTTTTTCAAAACCTCGTTCGATCAAAGTAACAGACATGGCTTCGTTCTTACCATGGAAAACAAAGTACTTAATATAGTATCAACTGCACGTTTAACCCACCTCTACTCTCCCGAACCAATTTTCTCAAAGCAAAACAAAACAAAACGAGTATTTGTGTTAGAAATGTGGGCTACTGGCCAATATTAATTCTATTCATCTGAAACGCTCTGAATACATAAATAATATTAACCATTTTGTGGTTTTTATTTTCAACTAAAGCTTTCTCTATTTCACCAATAGTGCGAAGAAAACATGAAGTGTAAGATTCATTAACAAAGTAGAAACACTGAGAAGCATAACTCGGTTATTCAAACACCTTGTGGGTCTTAAGCTGACATTTTTGGGAAGGAATTAATAAAAAAGCCTAATTAATAATACACAGATCAGAGAGGCTATTTAGATTTTCTATTAACACAGTGACAACTTTGGAATAAAAAAATTACCTCAAGGTGTTTGTAATAAAAGATGACGAACGAATCATGTAAAGTAAACCTTCAAAACAGCCGTTGGAATTTGTGAAAACCTATAGATATTACCATATATTCCTTGACTTGATAATCGTAAATGTTTTCATATATTATCGATTGCAAAAGCATTGACATGTAAGAAAGCGTTTGCAATGAACGATGAGACCCTAAAGCTCTTCATGTACACATGTACACGATACCTACCATTGGTACGTGGTGAATGATGGAAGCTATTCACGTTCTCCTGGAAATAAAGGATTTCGTGAAGGGTGAGAGATGTGAACTGATTTTGTATCTGCACAAACATTTCCCATAAAACCGTTTGGTCTCATCGTTCTTGGATCATGTTTTTGAGGTGTCAACGTTTTTGCAATTGAGCGTTTGCGTGTGCCCAGGCGCTTGTAATGGTAAAATCATGGCAAAGTTTTCATAGAATCATTTCACATGAAAATTTAATCGGCTTTTAAAAAACTGCTGTAACGGTTTTTCGAAATAGTTTTTGACGCCTACCGGTAGAAAGGACCTCACTTACGCATACGCCTTAGAGCTCCGACAGCGGTTTGTGACTGAACGAGCAGAAACCCGAATTTTTAAGCTCAGGCCGTCTACAGAACGCCAGAGTAATAAGGCGAGAGACAAATTTTTAATTAGGGCAGCCTACATATGTTTGCCGCTTCTAAAATGAGTACCATAAGTCTCGGCACGCTCCTCTACTTTTTAAATTTTTTTTTTTTTATTCTACTTCCAGTTCATTTGGAACGATGCCTGATACTGGTCTTGGTGTTAAAAGTAATCACCACAAGACAACATTGTGTGGGAAGAGAGGGTGAATTCCCGAGAAATTTACCAGATATGAATTACGAGACTTCTATTTATCACGTTGAATAGAAAGTTGTCGACCACCTGTTAAGGGAAGGCATGCCAACCAATTCAGTCTATAAGGGTAGCCCATCCTAAATTAGGACTTCAACCTCTTAAATACACTGCTATCAAAAACCTTACTGCTGAAAGGAAAATGTATTAGTAAATTCAGTAAAACTTAAAGGTGGAAGTTATCATAAAAACCTGTTCAACGTCATTTCCCAAGAAACGTTCTAAATGGTAAAAATAGCCATTCAGATATTTTAAAAACTGTTTAGAAGTCTTTGTTTGAGCAACAATGGAAAATTGTATGTTCTGTCCATAACTTAAATATCAAAATATTTGAATTTTGTTCAGAGAGATGAAAAATACTGAACAAAAAGACACTGTACATACTGCACAATTCTGTTACTGTAAAGACTTGTGCCAATCGACAGAGATCTGTAAACGTTCCACGGTGTAGATTACAGATTTCGTAGACCTTTAAAATCGTAACATCGTGTCGTATGAACAAGTTTATCAAAGAACGCACTGAAATCCTTCGAAATCCTTTTTCCTTTCAAAAACCTGAATTGCTAGGACAGTCCTTAAAAATACATCGGTAGTTTTCCCCTTTTGCTCTTCCGCTGGACTTTTGACCGTCATAGATCTCTTTAGAACCTTTGGTTACGTATCTATCTTCCAGTCTCGAGTCGAAATCTTTGTATCGATTATCGCGGATTCCGTCATCTTTGTCATCGTACTTAAAACCTATGAATTTTGATGACAGGTTATATGACGAACTATCCAAACTCTCCTTATCGTGTCCACTGGCATATTTGCTTTTGTATGTGGAGTCGAGATAGTTTGAGGATGCGCTGTATGAAGCATCACCAAACTCCTTGTTATCGTTGCTTCTGCTTCTGTGTTCGGAATCGAAGTATCTTGGTGATGAGTTATATGACATAGTAGGTAGCTCATCGTGGCTGCACAAATCTCCGATTAGATTCTGAAGAGCTGATCTCTGATGACGCAGTTGCTCGTTCTGTAAATGTGATGTTTTCTGTCCATCTTCCAAATCTTGCAAACTCTTTTCTAAGTTATCATTCCTCATATGCAATTCCTGAATCACTTCCCCTGACATTCCTGCCATACTTTCCACGTCCTGCATCTATGAGAAGAATCAAATATAACGTGATTTTGATTGATTTTGATTGCTCTATATTGATTGATTGATTGGTCTATACGACATGAACCATGCTTTCGACCAATCAGTTGAAAAACTGAAGCCAACCTCAACCTCGGTTATTCGCGTTTTCCTGCGCTTTAGGCCATTTGTCGCCTCCACTCTGAGTTTCTATTAGCTTTTTGTGATATGTTCTCTGGTTCTGAATGGTGGATCATAATCCTTCTATTTTTTAGATTTGCAACACTAGATTTATAGAAAAGCGCTAAAAACAGTATTGTCCCCCCATATTTAGCATTGTCTAAAAACCATTTTGAAAAGTCTTCACACGGTAAGACTTAGCTTACTTATGGGAGGTTAAATATGTGGTTATTCAGGACAATAACTGTTACCCTTTTATCGCTAGAACTGACTGTGTCCCTGAGATAGGGTGCAACTGAGATCTTATTATATGGTGACATCAATTATCATGATGAAAGAGAAAAAAGAATCGTATTGTGTAAAAGGTTCCCAACCTTCTCATTTAAACGTGTAACGTATTCATTCATAGCTTCCCTGGCTAGGGAAAGCTTAGTCTCCAACTCCTTTTTCTCCTCCTCCAGTTGAGCGATCCGGGCCGGGTCCATAGCCACTGATGCGTAAGACAAATCCTCTCTGCTACCTTCAAATTGAGTCCTGATGATCTGACCAATGGTGAAAATTTCTCTTTCGATTCTCTTTAGTGCATCAAGGTCCAGTTCTCCACGAGAGCTAGAAAGCTCTCGGCCAGTATGCAAGAGCCTATCTTGTAAACCCTTAATGTTGTAAAGACTTTCAGTCTTGCGGGTGGATATTTCTGTCTCAAAACTGGTAGCCTAGAATGAGAATGATGAGTAAAATTGCGAGTAAATATCTGTGGGCCTTATTATGAACAGAAGCGCTTTATTTCCCATGCACAAAGTAGATTTGATCACAAAGTAAAATCGTTAAGACTTCAGGCGAGGCATTCTAATTTTTAACAGAAAGGGTAAATAACCTTATTGATTCAAAACTGACACCGTTACAGGCTCACACGCAGGGCGTTCGATAGTGAGGAATGAGTTAAAGTTACTTTTTCTCGTCACTTCTTGAGTTTTCTGCTGAAGCTGCTCTTGGTTCGTGCCATGTATCAATACTTACACTTACAGAAATTAATTTATTTTCTCACCTTTTCTTTCTCATTTTTCAGTTTTTCCAACAGCCGTTCCAGTTGATTTTGCAATTCTGAAGTTCTTTCTTTCAGGGAAGAATTCTCAGAGACCAGGCGCTTGATTCGTTCAGTTTCGTCACTTTTCTCTGAGGGCTTTCCTTGTTGCTAGAAACGGAGAAAACAGTGTTATAGTGTCATATGGTAAAAAGAATTAATAAATTTGTGTAGAGTAAGCTGTCGGACAAGTTGTGAGCTCACCGAAGTTTGATGAAGTAGCTCAATCTTCTTTTGCTCCAAAGTTTTGATTTTCAGTTCCAGTTCCCTGATGACCTGAAGAAGTCTGTTCTTTTCTCGTAATGCTGCTTCGTATTTTGCCTACAGAACAGAAAAATATTTCATAAATTACGATCAATACCTGCACAACGAGATGCTAAGGACGTAGTCGATATGCCAGGTCGACATACAATTACAAATTAGACTAACAGCTTCCATCAGTCAGAGGAATTCATTCTGCAATTTTTTTGTGAAAAATCGTAGTAAATCGGCATTCATTGTTTATTTATCTTTCTATTTACAAGAAAAGCTATCAAAACTAGACCACCAAAACTAGATTGACGCTCACCTTGTATGAAGAATCCTGAGTGTCATATCTTGCCTCTAATTCATGCTGGGATTTACCCTGCAATAAGCCAACATCATTTAGGCTAAATATCGGATAACTTGGCCTTTCAAGGATAGCCGCTGATAAATCAAAACGGTTGTTAATCTTGCGGTTTTAAACGACAAAGAGCTATGTGCCTCGAGTTATGCTAAGTATATATTTTGTCTGGGAAGCCAAACTTTAGAGATCCAGCAAAAGCAATAAATACCTTGGAAGGAGAGGACCATCACTATGAATACAGAGACAGAACAAATTATTTACCTTTTGTCTCGGGCTCAGTACACTCCGTTGGCCTTGAATGTCATCTTTATGTCTATTGGAATCTTGTCTTCTCTGTTCTCTTCTTCGCTCTGCAGTGAGCTGAGTCTTGGTGTCGTAGTCTATTGAGGTCTTTTCAGCTTTAGCTGCTCGAGCCTCCAGCCCCCGTAGTTTCTCTTCCAAGTGCCGATCGGTGTTTTCGAACCTTCTGGCCCTGTCCTCATGAGTGTGGAAGCTTGTCTGGTCATTGTGAAGTCGTTTTCTATCATCCTCTTTTTCGGTTTTCATTTTACTAGTCTCCTCAACCTGCTTGGTTCGGGTCTTTAGCCTTAGGTCTTTGTCCTGGTTTGCTTTCAGGAGTCTTTCCATTTCAGCCTTGGCTTCCTCTTTGTACTGCTTATGAAGGTCGATGTTTTCCTCCAGCGCTACAATCTTGGCTTTTAAACCTTTATTTTCACTTTTCAATGCATCAATCTCAAATCGTAACGCCGATTCGTTGTCTGTCGGTGTGTGATGAAATGACATGCTCCTGGCCTGGGGCTCCTCCATTGATCTAGTTCCAGAGTCCGAGAGTCCAACTTGACTGTTGCTTGGCAAAGCTCGTTTTTCGTGATACACGAGGCTGGTGTGAAATTGTGACTGCAAAGTCGAGTCATTCTTAGAATTATAATCCGTACCTACATGCTGTCCATGGATACCAGTGACAGCAGGTTGATCGACATGGGAGTTGCCAGCTAACGTTCCGGTCCCTACACTGTCTTGCTGAGGGTGTTGTAGTTGCTGATACGATTGCCAGTAGGAAGGACCTGCTTTATCACTGGCAAAATCATGCTTTTGTTGACTACCAGTGAAGCCACCTTGAACACCACAGGAGTCGGCATCATATGCTCCTGTCCACGTAATTTCTGTCTGTGACCGTTCTTGTTGTGAATGCTGATACGATTTCCAGTTAGTAAGACTCGTCACATCTCTGACACCATCAGAGACTTCTCCACGATTCGCTGACAATCCAACAGTTCCACTTCCGAGTTCAGCCTGACGGTTTCCCCTTTGATGTTCAAACACTCCTTTACTTTCTGTTTCACCGACACGCACGTTCTGTAGGTGCCCCAGAGATGATCTCGTCCACTCATCATCACTTCGTTGCCTTTGCGAATTGTCTACTTGGCCTTTTCCCTCGACCCTTAGTTTTTCTCTTGTTTTGACAATTTCATCCTTCTCCACCTTAATTTTCTCTTTTTCTCGATGAAGCTCTTCCTGTATCTGTCGTCTCTCAGATTGTACTTTTTGATCAAGCGCCTCTTTTTCGGTGTGGAATGTCTTATCTAGTTCCGTTTTATGATCTGCTAACAGTTTTTCAAAGTCATCCTTCAGTTTGCCACTGAGTCCTTCACGTCCTTTTGAAGTCAATGTTTCCTGAAAAAACGTTATTTCTTCGTACACTCTGTTTTTCTCCTCAATTTCAAGGCGTAGTACCTCGATTTCTTTCCGAAGGCGTTCGTTTTCTTTTCTATTCATCGATTCACCGTTGACAGATTTCTCTCTCTCTCGCTCTAATTCCTTTTCTACATCAAGTCTCAACAGCTTCTCTTCCTGCAAACTGTCCTCAAACGCCTTACTCTTTTCTTGGAATTCTTTTTCCATTCGAATTTTCTCTTGTGTCATGTTAGCTTCAAATTCAGCACTGGATCTCTTCAAGTTACTTTCGAACTCAGAGAGGCGTAGATTGAAGCTACTCTCCATTTCGAGTTTCTCATTATTTATGCGCTGTTCCATTTCTGATTTTTCACGTATCGCTTCTTCTTTCACGCGTGAAATTTCCCTCTCTAACATGACTTGATATTCAGCCTCCAATTTTTCCTTGAGTTCAATTTTTTCTCTTGCAAAGTTTTCCTCCATTCTTCCTTGCTCGGTTCCTAATTTTTCCCGAAGTTCTTCTAACTTCTCCTTATAATACTGGTCAAGCTGTTGTCTCTCTTCACGAAATGACTGAGTCAGTTTGTCAATCTCTTCAGCGAAGTTCCTCTGCATTTCCATCTTCTCCATAGACACGTTCTTCTCAAGCTCTGCTCTCTCTGCTCGTGTCGCCTCGTCCCACTCTAGTTGTCTGCTCCTGAATCCACGCAAAGTTTCTTCCATCCTCTTCTTGAAATACACTTCCAACGTAGTTCTTTCTCTTTCAAATATATGCAGCAGCTCTTCTTTCAAGGCCTCTTCCTCACTCTCGTTCAGTTCGATCCGAAACTCCTCTGTTACTGAACCATCGATCTCGCCGCTTAGTTGACTTACACTGTCACTTTCCCCAAAGCCACTGTCCTTGCTGGTTCGCATACCACTTTCATTACCATCTTGTCGGTAAAATCTTCCTGCTGCCTGGCTACTTGTTATAACTCCAGATGACGAGTAAATCATTTTCTGTCTTCCTAAAGGGTGACTGTCCCCTGTAAAGCTCTTTGGTTTCTGCTCGCCATCGTCAATGACTCCACAAGAGTCCATTTTCCTTCCAACATGGCTGTTTGTTGTTTCCGATGCGGAGTAGGCTATCTGGCGTCCCCCAGAGACGTATTCATGGTTGTTTAAAGCTTCTTTATTGCTGTATATTTCAACTTCTGTTACCCCATACCCTGACGATTGTTCCTTGCTATGCTCACTACTTACGTTGGCTGATGACGAGTGCATCAGGATTCGCCCACTGCTCTGCAGAACAGGAATGTTTGATTTCATACTGACCTTGTTTTCATTCCTGTTTGAATGCATTGCAGCAGCCACAAGCTCTTATTTCATAGACTGATGGAACATACGCATCAGAAAAAACCTGATAATTTACCTTAAATGCACCTACTATACTCAGATATTCAATTTACAGCGCCCTTCGAATAGCAAGAAAAGCAAAGAGAAAGGGATTGAATGAACTATTCATCGCAATTTTTATGCCCATGATTTATGTTTAATGAGTAAAATTGAGGTTTACGCCACCAGTAGCGTAGGCCGCCGAGGGTATAATAATGTCACCAGGGAAGTTATAAACAAAAAATGTTAGTGAGTTCCGCTGCAAGTAGAAAATCGTCACTCACACGGCGAATTAAATCAACCGCCATGTCACCAAAATTGAGATAAAAGTTTAAATTAACGGGTCCAACACGAGAAGAACAAGCCTGTTACTCACACATCCAATTGTGGTTTCTTGGAATACCACCTTACTTGGTACAAGTTGCGGTTAAGGGACAATAAAGAAATAAATTATAGTATTTGACCTACAAGTAAGAAATTTCGCTCGAAAAAACCATAGAAATTCAATAAATAAAGAATCTGCGGTTTCAACAAAACCACATAATACACCGAGGTAAGCTAATTTTAAGGTGTCATTTAAAACATTTCCAACTTATTTCACGCCATTTTCCGCGGTTACAAGTATTCATCTAAATTTTCAAGGAAAATGGTAGTGCGGCGAAAGTATGTATCAGTGTATATTCGTAGATATCGACCCGTCCTTAGCAATTTGAATCTTTACGTTAAACGCATCAATTGAGTATGGATATCTACTTCCTTAAAAACACAGTCGTGGATCACTCAAACATTAAGTTGATGGCTTCATTTATGTTTTTTCTTCTTTTTCGTTGCTTTGAAATATTTCCAAGGATGGTCCAATACAATCAATCCATTAGGATAGTTATTTCTGATGTATGTAATATCATCAACCAATAATTGCTCCTGATACCTGTAAGGAACCTGTCATTTGTCGGCAACGTGCCAATATCCCACACAGTAATGCACTCCGAGTGCTTTTGTGGTACACAGCAGCCAATTGTGATTATAGATGACGATGAGATCGTAACTTAAAGCGATGAAGCCTTGTATACCATTATGGAGGAAGAGATTGTTTAACTGTTCCTTTTTTTTCCATATGCTATTTTATTATCATAGTTTTTTGTTTCTAAAGTCCTACTTGATGAACGTTGCCATCTACGATACCAATATTCAATCTAGGCTTTAAGACAGCAGTCAAATAAGAGATATCATTTCAACTCAACATCTATATTTCAACATTCATATTTTCATTAGCAGAGATACACGTCTTATTATCATAACAAGAATACTCCGTTTGTCACAGTTGAGTTTTAAAAGTTTGATGTATATCGATAGACATACCTACGTATGTTGTGAAAGAAGCTTACCTAGCTCAGGAAGTGTCATCCACAGTCATTCACCACAAACTTTCCGTGAAGTGACACATATCTGTGCTCTCTATATTCTAAGTATAACTATTTTTTCATTTACACCTTTAAAATCTTTGTCTTCAAGAACTCACATTATGTAGGATGTAAAATGTTAAGCCTAGCTGAATGAATCAGTAAACAAGCGAGTGCTCGCCAAGAAATAACAACTTTCAGCAGTACCAGTTAATATTATACATTGTCAGAATTGTAAGTAGAACTGTTACACGAGACATAAACTAGCTCGTATAAATGGAGCTCTGATATCATATGGAGGTGTGGCTCTGGAAACGAGTCCAGCAGACATCCAAGCACTGTCCACTTGTAATGACACATGGTATCACTGTTCACTACTAACTTCCTCTTCTTTTCCATCATCAGAGGTCATCAAAACGCGAACGGTGGAAGAAACAGGCTGTTTTGGCAGTATAGCGTTTAAAATCCTATAGACACCTTGATCAGGTTGTTTCTCGAAAGTGACATAAACCAAAATTCTTTTACGCTCGTCAGGAGTCAAACGCAACTTAGAGTCGTAGACTTTAATCATCTTATCAGTTTCCAAAGTAGGAGAAGCCAACGCCCTCGCGCTTCCCTGTTGATTCCATGCACTTGATTGAGCAGTGTTTGCACTAGATCTGTCTTCGCTGTCTTTTCCTTCTGCGGATTCTTGACTCTTAACACTAACTTCACTGTTCCTCTTTACTCGTTTTTGAAGGTGACGAGTTAAGGCTCGTATCTTGGTGTTACTCTCTTGATTCGCTTCTTGAAGCCTTTTTATTTCGATGTTTTTACCCTTAATTTCCTCTTGAAGTACATCGATTTTGCCTCTAAGTTGTTCATTTTCCTTTTCGTTTTGGGCCTCTATGTTGGAATATTTCTCCTTCACTTGCTCAAGTTCGCTTTCCACTTCTAATCTCTGCCGTCTCTCTTCCTTCAGCTTCATTTCAACTTCCACTGCTCTTTCCTGACTTTCCTTTTCCATTCGCATACTCTCTTTCAATTCACTCCGAACCTTTTGCAAACTTGTCTCAGCTTCAGCCAACTGTTGGTTGAAGTTCTTTTCGAGCTCAAATTTATCTTTGTTAAACCTTGCCTTCATCTCTGATCTTTCCCGCAGTCCTTCTTGTTTTTCATACATCACTTCCTTCGTCAACATTACTTGATATTCTGCTTCAAGCTTTTCCTTGAGCTCTACTCTCTCTTTTTCAAATTTCCCATCAACTCGCTTTTGTTCCAGTGAAAGCTTATCTTTAAGATGTTTCACCTGATCTTCGTAGCACTGCTCAATATGATTTCTTTCCTCGCTGAATGAATGCGTTAGTTTGGATATCGCATCAGCAAATTGCCTCTGCATTTCCACCTTCTCTTTGGCCAGTTTACTCCCAAGTCTCTCTTTCTCTGTTTTAGAAGCTTCTTCCCACTCCATTTGCCTGCTTCGAAAACCATGCATACGTTCCTCCATTTTGGTTTTGAAATACACCTCAAACAAGCGCAAAAGTTCTTCCTTAAATGCTTCTTCGCTGCTCCCTTGAGCCATGACGAGCTGACTTTGGATGTCTTCAGCTGTTGATAAAGAACGGGCATGGTTCTCAAAACTCCCAGTTTTGACAACATTCATTTCCATGTAACTTTCAGAGTCGTTACTATTCTGGCTCATGTTGTCGTGTTCCCTAAAGCCACTATCCGCTTCGTTGCTTTTTGCGTCACTTTCAATTCCACGAGCAGAGTTGCTTCCTCCATTAACATGACTACCATCGAGCACACTTCCTGTTGCAGAAGGAATGATCTGCCTGTTTTTATGTCCTGCAAAAGCGAAATCCTCTGCGTTCTGGCTCATGTCAGCTCTTGGATAATTGCTATGTAAGATTCCCAATGCAGAGTACATAGCTTTCTTATCATCATTTGGTTGAGAAGGTCTGATGGATTTTTCTCCGACTTTCCTTTTGTTTAAATACATGGTGGTTGCCAAGTTTTCCTCCTCTTCGGAAGGTGCGACCTACATATGTTTAAATTAAGAATTAGAACAGTTCTGTTCGACAATCAATTCTTGTAACGCAACGTAGGGATGAGAACCAAAAAGCGATAACTCTAAATGATTTCAGAGTGCACTGTACAACTGCACAGGTGATGTTCCGATCATTTAAGATTGATGTCGAAATTGAGGTCCCCAACTGCGCAACGAAACATGAATAGAATCGTGTTTATCTTCCGCAAAAATCAATACAATCAACAAAAATTATTTGATTAATATTCCTAACGCTGCATTCAGTCTCTGAGGTCCACAAGACTTAACATACTAGCGTATTTCAAAGGTAATTTATTAAGTCCTTGCATACTTTTCGAAACAATTGCTATATGGACGAGAGAAAATTCTTCAAAAGAATTTAGCAAGGTTCATAAAAATGGAGATGTTATCAAACCATTTCATAAATTAATTATGATATTTACAAAAACAAACACCGACGAAAGTGGATTTAAAGGATAGTTTGGTTTCCTCCGTGGAAATTTGGGTTACCCACATACAACGAAGTCGATGTAGCAACCTGCTGATCCCCACTGTCGTAAAAGAAACTTTGTAAATCACTGAAAAGTAAGTGACGATAGGTCAGATAGAAACATTAATTAAGCCTTTAAAACTCTTTATCTTTCTTCGTTGTATCAATAGGAAACGGGCGGAAAACAGGTGCATGGAAAACGGGGCGGAGCAATTAGTTATTTTGGCGCCGGGAAGATATTCGAGGATTTGGCGAGATAATCTTTCAGAAAAAGTTTGTATTTGAGTTGATGATTAATCTTGAGAGAAACCGAAAGCGAAGTGAAGAAGAAACAGTTCGTCTAAAATGCTGTTACTCAATGGAGATTTGCATATTTTCAGTAATCAGGATATGGATTTCGCGTTAAAGATTTCTCCCCTCTCGAGGTAAATTTCAATACAAATAAATGACCAAACAGGAAGACAAAAATAAAGTTAGAAAGACAAAGACAATCCTTGGTTCGACCGCGATTGTATTTGATTAAAATATTTACACCTTCATCATCCGTCCACGAACAAACTTGTTTCCGACTCGAATGCAACAATAAAGGACTAGAAACCGAAAACGGAGCTCTACTAAGACTCACGGTTCCGAACCAACTTATTTAACACAGAATTACCATAAGCTATCTTATTTTCAAGTTTGTAACTAATTAAAACTTATTACTGTTACAGACACGTATCGGCTCGAACCATAAGTTAATTAATCATGAGCGGTAGAAAAAGAAGACCATTAGAAGAAAATGTTGCTTGGTGGCAGTACCGCAAAATTACCAAAACAACAACGAAAAAAAAATTTAAGAGGACCACTTTTCAATTTAAATTTCGAAAACTTTTTCAGGACGCGGCGTCAGGGGAGGACGGCTTGGTAGGGCGAGGAATAGATTCAAGTAAAAAAGATCCCATAAGCTTGCTATTCAATTCAGTTCCATCAAATTTTATAACAAACCAAATTTAATTAAAAACCGGTCATTCAAACGAAATAGGAACACCGCATGGCTGTGTTTATTCGAGATATGACGCAGTGAACAAGACAACAGATTGTTTTGTTATATTACAAAAGGACGAACAATTCAACTGATGCACTGACTATATTTTCAAATTTCTTCACTAGATTATTTAATCCATTCTAATCAGATGGACTCAATCTGCATAAAAATGTTAAATATCATAGTGCATTAAGAAAAGGCAAATCGTGTCTTCAGATTCGATGAAATGATTTTTCTATCGTTTCACTGATTACTTGCAGACTGATTGTTTGATTGATTTATGAATTGATTCAATGATTGATCAATGGGCGAGGTCAGTTAAGCGAATACATCGAGTGGGTTTCTTCACGTAATTTGCTGTACATCTTTACACAACTAACAATATTTCGTCAATTCAAAAAGGCAATTGAGATCAAATATAGCAATATCTTTCTTTGCGTAAATAAAATTATTGAGAAACAGTTTTTCTAAATGATAAGTGGCAAAAGCTATAAAAGTTATGAAAACTATGTATGCAATTCTATATCTACGCAGTGCTCGAGCAACAAAGATTTAGATCACAATTGTGAAATTACATTTACAAAAATACTTTTAATCCTAGTATCAAAAGTCGGCAGGTTTAAAACCTTTGATCAATTCATTTGAATAATGCTTACAAATTAAAGATCTGGATCTTTGTAAAACTGAGATAAAATGTACCACAACGTCAGTAAAATTTTCAAATAATCTAGCCAGACAAAAATGGTCTATTAGATGGAAACATTGTCTCGTTAGGATCCACATAGTAAACTCCAAGAAGAGAGCAGCGCTGATGATATGAGAAGGATCTGGATCAACAACACGATCTAGTTGTGAACCAGCTCTTTGTGAAAAATCTTCTCATCAGAAAAACATCCAAGGAATCTAAGAGAAGACTCCCACTGACAATGATTTCTCGCTTGGAGATATATTTACTCCTCTTTCTCCTTCTGTTACACATGTTGTTGCTTTTAAGCTATAGCATTGGCTCCACATAACTTAGAGATGACCCTTTGCAGGGCTTTCTTTTGTTCTGTAAGCTGTCGATTTGCTTTCTCCGCTCTTCTCTCGTTGGCTTCCGTTTGTTGAAGAGCTTTTGTAAGTTTGGCGTTTTCTATGTACAGTTCCTGAACAAGGTTACCTGAACGTGTGGCACTGATTTCAGATTGTTGAAGCTGCGAGCAGGAAACAAAAACAGATAAAAAATTCATTATGAATAGAAAAGGGAAAATTAAGCATCGCGTGGTTCAGAAGAACTTAAAAAAACTTACGGGCCATTAGACAACTACAGTGCTATTGACAAAACTGCATAGACATTAACAAAACTCTCACAAGTAAAACGTTTACCACAAAAGATCGCTTATAATGCTCCATAAAATTGGAGTAAAAAGGATCGGGAATTTACCTACTTGTCTTGAATTACAAAGAAAAACCTAAGTTTATAATGCTTTCATACATCATATTGAGATAATAACAATAATAATAATATTAATAATAATAATAATAATAATAATAGCAATTTATAAACTTATATAGCACATGCTACATGACGTAGTAATTGCGTGTACTTTACAAAAAAAGTAAAACAAATATTGTAATAATAGCAGATACCGTACCACAAAAAACTAAAGTCGCTTAAAATTACAAGAATGATCGAGTGAGATGAATTGGGATAATTCTATATTGTCTATCTTGATTAACGAAAACTATCACATGGTAAACATTGGAAGAGGATCATTTCGCACATATCACCTGTTTACTCAGCCTCGCCACGTGTTCATCCAGTGCTTCTCGCGTTTGTTTCACTTTTGTTTCCAATTCAAGTTTCTCCTTTTCTAGTTGTCGTATCCTCCCTTCCCACATATGACTTGCTTTTTCAAGTTCTCTCAGTCGTCGGGTCTTCTCTTCGAGCTGTTGAAAAAAGAAGAGAGCCAATGGTACCGGGAACAGACAGGTGTTGGTGAAATGGGCCATGTAGCTTTTCCATTTGTCCTCTAATGAGAGTACAGGAGGAAAACGAGAGTAGGAAAACGAGAGAAGGAAAACGAGAGTAGGAAAATGAGGAAACAACAGTTACCCCAAAGAACAGGGTTGACGATGTTTAGCTTACGCCACCACAACTGTACTACCATGGTAATGGTGATTCTTAGAGCAACACCAAAAAGAATACTACGCACATAAAAAAACTAAAAGAAACTGAAGACACAAAACAAAAGATGAGAATAATTCTATATACCTTTTTGCTGAGTGCCATAACCTCTGCCTTCGCCTCATTAAATACTTTTTCTCTGAGAGCCTGATCCCGTTCACTGGCCAAGTTGGCTCGATGAACCTGTTCCTTCAGTTCGCTCACTTCACGCTGATGACGAGATTTCATGGTTGTCATTTCCGTATTTGCAAGAGTTGCCTAAAAGATGACAAATTTAGATCAGAAAATCGTCTCGTGGGCTTTGCTGACGTGTAAATGAAAAGCACAATCACAAACGACAACAACTTACCCGTAACGAAGACACATCTTACCACACTTCACATTTAACAATTCACGGAACATCACGCACGATACAAGTCACAAAGATCACGTAAGGTTAGCTGAAACGAAATCTCACAACACGTACGTACATGTGAATTGACATCCAAAACATGATAATAAACGAAAAGTCGTTGAGGAGCTACGGTCAGATGAGCAAAGCAGATTCAGTTAAGAAATGTTAAGGATATATTCCCTTTCCTTTGGGCAAACAAACTTACTTGTATTCGACCCATGTTCCTGTAGGGTCCCTTAAAGATTACAAGTATCCATTTTAGCGACAAGCATTTATAGCCCTGCTATTAAAATCTGACCGCGACAAAATCGCAGCAGACCTTAATTATCCTACGTTACAAAAATTTGCATGAGAGCATAACGATAGACGAACTGTTCCAACCTGCAGTTTAAATATTGAGCATCACCTTTCATCTCCAACTGTTACTAACTTCGCTCTAGATGAAATCCACGTTCACTCAAATTCAACTCCATACTTTTCGTTTGGCTGTTGTAGTTTGACGCTGAACTCATTAATTCATCGCGGTCTCGATTCACTGTTCTCATTGGGCTACATTGTTCCCATGAAATGTGCTCAATGGTACTCCCCCTTACTTACCTTTTGTTTTTCTGTCTCCAATTCTCTTTTGTGGGTTCCCTGTGCATTAGCTAATCTCTCTTTTAGCACATAGACCTCCTCTTGAAGATGATTTGCTTTAGCGTTCTTTTCTTTAAGAACTTTTTCTACCACTTGTTTCTTTTCCTGGACATCTTGCAGCTTCTTTTCCATGGTAATAAGATCATTTTTGGCCTGCAAAACAGATAAGGGAGAGTTATAAACCATTATGAGAACAATAATAAGTTTTAAATTGAGTCATATGTTCAGTACTCAAAACAGGCATTGCCGAGCATCCCTTAAGGTAGCACTGGATCAATGTCAGTATCTAAGTAACTGCGCACCTACCCCTCCCTTAATCCAACATTAACCCTAAATTATTAAAACTTCCTACCGATGTACCCAAGTGAGGTTCGACTGAAACATTATCTTCATAACTTTTATGTAAATTATAAATGAAGATAGCAAAAACTTCACAACAAAAAGCATAAGTCATAATGATTAGCAAAGTAATAATACTGCATGTACAGGAGAGAAAATACCAAGCGAAGTGTAGAATGGGAAATTACGATAAGAGATTAAACATAACATACACAGCTGCGAACAGTTACAGGTCTTTACATTCGAAATTAACCAGTAAAGGAAGCAAAATACGAGCAGATAAATCGCTGAGTGAACAGGCGACTTCACACATTTGTAATACAAAGGGAGGGCGATAATGAGAGATGACTGTTGCTTATTTGATAACAATTTATGGGCGTTACAGCGTGCTTAATGCAGTCTACACAGATTAAGTTTTATGGTTACGAAAAATGTTTACAACAAACTTTTAACAAAATTAACGAGTTCTTTGCAATAACTGACATAATGGTTTAGCATAAATACAATGTAATGTCTGTTACAACACTGTAGCTTCAGTGAACACTTTCTATTGATGTTTAGCTGTTGTACTACCAAGAAAAATAAATTTAATTTTTCATGTCTTTTAAGTTCACTAAATGTCTCAGTGGTTTATTACGTTTTGAAAACACAGCAATAATGCAGTTACAATAATAATGACTTTTAAATTTAAAGATTAACTTCTTTTAAAGAATTGTAATATCAAGTGATACACTTTTCAAGAATGAATAAAAATTTACTTCAGTCAGTCAATGTCACATTTTTAAATCTCCGGTAATTTTAAAGGTAAATAAACACATGTTTAAGCTCGCTCTTAGGCTAACCTTGATAACGTCTTTAGGTTTCCATAGCAATTTGTTTAATTATTCAGATTTCTCTGACGCCTTTCTAGCATTTAAACGCACTACGACAAAATAGGTTCTAGCATTTCGCGATTGTTTATATTTTATGGTGCTTAAGATAAGTTGCATCACCAGCAAAGCAAGCTACGTTTAGAGTCGGCTGAAGTGGGATCCATTCCGCAGTTGGGGAGAAAAGCTCTAAAAGTAGTCGTTTAGAAGACTGTCGGTTCAAAGTTGTATTACATCGAGCGCAGTCACACAGATTAGAGTTATGTCGGGCGAAGTCACACAGGTTATGGTAAAATGTTAGGCGCAGTCACACAGATTAGTATTTGATATAGCGCAGTCACACATATTAGTGTTACATAAAGCGCAGTCACACCAATTAGAGTTAATTGTCAAACATTACAAATCATAAACACGCCGGCATACGTAGTGTCTGAGGGAAGCCACACAGAGATTTTTAATGTTTTAAAGCTCTGGGGTCAGTTGCTCAAAGGGTGGATAACGCTTTCCGACGGTTAAATCGCTACACAGTGCATAGCTGTAGACAAAATGTGCTGCGCTATCCATTGAATACGGATTCATTCGGTGGAAAGCGTTATCGAACCTTCGAACAACTAGTGCAAGTAAAATGGAAAAAGGTGAAGACTTTAAAAGCCAATAGCCTGGTTACGAAGCCGCAGCAATTAGAGGCATTTGGATTGTTCTTAAATTCAGCAGTATATTATTGCATTAGATTGTTAAAATTAGTAGCGTTCAGTTAAGTGCAATTAAGAAGCTTTGAAGAAAAAAAAAAAAGACTAACAGATGACGACACCTTCTCAGCCTCAAACTCCCTTTGCCGCATGTTTTCCATGTTCGCAAGCTTTTGGGTCAGCTGAGTGACTTGTTTTTCAAGTTGGGCTGTTTCTTCAACGCGGTGCTCGAGCCTCGCCTCGAGGGCCTGGTAGGCAGTTTCTCGTACGGCCAGCATGCGCTCTAGCTCTTTCACCCTGACGTCATCCTTATCGGCCATCTTTTTGGTAAGCAGTCTCACCTTCTGCTCCAACTCCAAATTGTGTTTGTTGCGTTGATTCAGCCGCTGTTCCAAATCCTTATTCTCAGTCTCCCAAAGGGATAAGCGCGTGTTCAGTTCGTGAAGTCGAGTTGTTTCCACGTCTGCGAGCTGATTGGTCAGCTGCGATGCCCTATCCTCGAGTTCGGTTTTTTGCTTATTGTATTCGTTGACCTTTCTTTCCAGCGTCTGATTTTCATTTTCTTTCATCGTCAACAAGGCATCGAGCTCTTTATTCTTGACCATGGATTTTCTCAAGTCGCTTTGGAGCTCCGCCACTTCACTTTCAAGCTCAGCATTGTTATCTAAGAGCTTTTTGTTCAACTCTTGGTTTTCTAAATCACGACTGCGCAACATGTTCTCGATCTCTTGGCTTTTGTCCATGATGTCCTTGAGCTCGGCTTCCGTTGAAGCCAAGCCATTCAGCTGTGAGTCTCTTGCTTTTAACTTCTCCTCAAGTTGTTCTTTGGACGAATTACTCAAATTCAAATCGACCTCCAGTTCTTGGAGTCGCAATCTTGCCTCTTGAAGCTCGGTTTCCAAAGTTCCACGAGTTTCTCTCAGTTTTTCGTTTTCTGAGCTCTGCTCACGGAACTTCGTTTCTAAATCCTCCACTTCGGAGGCTCGTAGATTTAACATCACGTCCATTTCGTCAGTTTTAAGTTTTAGTTCCTTCACTTTGTTTTCTTCTCCTTCCTTCTTTACCTTCGATAACAAAGCGCCGACACCTTACCAAAGATTGCACACGGAAAACTAACACGATCTCAATTCAGCGAAAACAAAGTTTAAAAATAGCGGAAACGCGTGCTATAACTGGGAAATAAAACATTTTAGTTCTTCTAGGAAACAAAATCCTTACATGAACATAACTGAAATAGCACACAACAAGTACAGAACACGTCGCATGACAGGTGCCTTGCTAAGACTGAAGATCATACTTCTTAAATTTTTTTCTTTTCTCTGGCTTAAAGGTCGTTACGAAGAGTTCAGTTACGAAAGGCACCGGGGGACTTACGAGTGAATTTTTAGAAAAATCCGATTCTTTTCGACAGAATTTCCACGGGAAAGTTTCCCATTGCTTTTCCCAAACGTCTCGGCTTATCGTTTTGAAGATACTAACCATACTACGGATTCAGAAACATTTCTCCAAATGATTATCGCCTTAAAACGTAACGTGTAAAATCATAGTATGAACTTGACCACCGTGGGTCGTCGCTCTGTTCTCTCCAGAATTAACAATGATCTTTTAAGTACCAAGAGTTTCTCGTCAAATAACCATTTTTAATCATCCAATCATCAGTACTCAACAAGAAAAAACAGTTGGGGTGATTTTCATGACAACATAGAGAGTAAAAAGTTTCAGGCTCGATACAACTGAGCTCTTTGGAGAGAGCAGGAAATAATCATGTTTATTTGATGTTTACCCCTGAGCTTGAGGAGCTTTTTCAAATATTCCTTTCAACGTGTGCACCTTGAATTAAGATCAGCCACAGAAGTAATTATAAAAAATAAATCGCTTACAAGTACTTACCTTTTCGGCTTCCAGAAGTTCTCTCTCTCTTTCTAACGCTTCCTTTTCCATAACAGCTTTCTCCCTTTGAAGCTCGTCGAGGTGCACTTTCTGCTCAGTAATTTCCTTGATACTGTTTTCCAAAATGTGTCCTTTCTCCTTTTCAAGCGACTCCACTTTGCTTTCAAGCTCGGCCACTTTCTCGCGCGACAGTTTCAGCTCTACGACTTCTTTGTCGCTGCGAGTTAAAGTCTTGAGCTCAAGAGTTTGAACTTTAGCTTCCAGCTCACGTTTCTGCTCTTTGAGGAAATTGATCTCATCTTGTAAATGCTTTACAGTTTGTTCCAGTAGACCAGTTTCGGTTTTCAGTTTAGTGGCGTATTCTCTTTCTAATTGCGAGCGAAGTTCAATCTTCTCCTGCACGTACTCTTCCTCTAATTCTTGTTTTTCGCGAGCGTTATTTTTCTGTAGGTCTTTGATTTTCCTCTGGTAACTCTCTTCAAGTTCGTTTCGCTCGCTTGAGTAAGTTTCCCGAAGTTCCTGCAAGCCTACCGTTCCACTCTTTTGGAATTCCTGTTTTTCCCGAAGGTAGCTTTCCTCCAGCTGTGCTTTCTGTGTAGCAAAACTCTCTTCTAACTCCGCTTTATGAGTCGCTAACAAACACAAGAAATCGTTTTTCAGCTGTCCTTTCAGCCCAGCCTCGCCATCGGTGAAGGCCTGCTGCAACTCGGTTATTTGATCTTTATAACGCGCCTCTAATTCAACCTTCTCTCGAGACGAACTCTGTAACAGCTTGGCCTTTTCTTCGGTGTAATGTTCTTCGATTTCAGCTTTCCACTTTTGGAAAGCCAGTTCGCTGTGAGTCGAATTTTCTTGGAAGCCTTCCTCGATTTTCGCGCGTTCCTCGTCAAATTGCTTTTCTAACGCTGCTTTTTCCTTCAGGAAACCATTTTTCAATTCAGCTTCTTTCAGAGCCAGCGTGTGATTATGTTCATTTTCGAGATTCTCCTTCAAATCAACCTTCTCCCGTGCAAATCTTTGTTCAAGTTCATTTCTCTCGCGGGTAAAAGACTCCCGCAGTTCAGCTTTTTCACGGGCAAACTTCTGTTCGATTTCTGCTTTTTGCTCGACAAAGCTTTGCTTCAGACTTGCTACTTCCTTAGCATGAGCCTGCTTAATCTCCCATGTCTCGTTAGAGTATTTTTCCTCCATTTTAGATTTTTCCTTCTTAAATTTATTTTCCAGCATACTAATCTGCTGTTGATGTGCGCTCTCGAGTTCAGATCGTAAAATTGTCCATTCATGCTGGTTCTTTTCCAAGGCTGCTACTTTGGTGTTCTTCTGCATCTCCCATTCAGCCTTGTCTATTCTAAACTGCTGCTCCAGTTCTGCCTTCTCGTTCATCAACTTCAACTCCACCTCAGTTTTTTCCGCCTCGACGGCTTGAAGCTTTTCTACCAGTCGTTTCTCCTCAGTTTCCATTTTCTCCTTCTCCTTGTCTATCTCTCCCTTGAACAGCCTCTCCAGCATTTCTTTCTCTCCTCTGTGCTCTTCTTCCATTTCAGATTTCTCGCTCTCGTATTCCGATATCAGCAGCTCCCGTTCCTGCCTGAATCCATTCTCCAGCTCCTTCCGGAGGCTTTCCCGCTCGCTTCTAAGCGACCGCTCTAAATCCTTCATCTTATCTTGATACTCCTTCTCCAGCTGCTCCTTCTCCGTGTGACAGCTCTTCTGCAGTCCTTCCATCTCTCCGGTAAACTGCGCTGTGAGATTCGCCAGCTCGGTGTCATACCTTTGCTTTGCTTCGTAACTCTCAGAGGTAAGAGAACCCGTCAGACCCTCAATTTCGTTCCTCAGATCTTGAATGGAAGCCTCTTTGGCCCTCAGCTGAGCTTCCTGATCCTTCACCTTGTCACCAAGCTCTTCCACTTTTCCTTGGAACTCTGCTAATGCGATCTTCTGATCGGACAGCAACTTTTCTTTCTCGCTCATCGACGATTCTTGTTCTTCTACTTTAGCTTTATGCGCATTGATCTGTTCTTCTTTTTCCTTCAATTCACTCTCCAATCTCTCAATAACTTCTGAAAAAAAAAATTAAACCAAACAACTATTTAACTGTCACGACCGATAATGCAATAAGCAAAACAAAATATTGGTAATCTAATATTCACTAATCGCAGTATTTCACTGCAAGTCAAACTGAGTGGATAGTTTACTGGAAAAACTCAGCACACTATTACTGCATTCGTAACGAGCCGATAGGTTCCCTTACTAAAAGTAACAATGATTTATAGAACAGGCCCCCCGATAACAAGCAACTTAAAAATACTCTTGTCATATCACTTCTGACAGCAACACAGTTTATCTGTTAACTATATTGTAACTAACTTACTGCGTTGTTCCTGCAGTTCAGCGGAGTCATCTGGGGAATGAGGAGAAGGTAGAGTTATAATCAGAAAAGTCACATATGAACAGAAACGCGCAGAACTCATATTGTAGTTATTCTGCGGGAGAGTTAGAGGAAATACATTTTAAGTTCAAGCTTTTTTTTTATGATAACATCTAAACAGAGCGAAAGTTCTTGTTTATCAACGAAGGAGAAGTCTCAAGAGGAACAAAACTGAAAATAGCTAATTTTCTTTTACTGAAGGCAAAGAGAGCGAGAAAATCGAAGAAGCCAGTCGTAGGACCGGTAAGAGAAGTGTCAACTCAATTTTGTACACAACTACACCCATGTCGTTAAAAAAAAAAATCCGCAAAAAAAAAAAAAAAAAAAAAACGAAGACACTAACAGGAAAACAAGAGTTCTGAGATAAGTCCCCATCTTCTTAATCAAGAATAGACACTAATCAAGATTTAGGAATACAAAAGTGAGACCAGAGATTTCTCCATTTACGTGTCACATACGAAGAGAAGTTAGGAATGGATAACTCAAATAGACCAGTTTAACTGGTGCTTACAATGAAACTGTTACAAGAACACAAAAAGCCCACAGGACCACAACAAAATAGACCAGGCAGAGACAGAGGAAAAGACCTTTAGGATTAGTAACGAGGATTTCTTCATCGACCTCTATTGACCACGGCAAAGGAGGAGCATCATCATCTGTAAACTGACCTGCTAAGATAGCAAATTGAAGAGAAACATAACATGGAAAGTTAACGGATAACAGCTACAAAGGATGAGACTGGCAGCAAAGAAGCAGTCAAAGATTCCTCAGAAATTCAGAAAGTAGCAACACAGGAACCAAAGACAGAGGTGTTGAACTGTACCTTGCAGATTTGAGTTTATCTACAAAGTGGCAAACTTTCGAGTTTGCCTTAATCCATTTTTGGTTTGGTTGTCGTTGTTGTTGTTTTTCTTTTGTCGCCGTAAATTTACATTGTTTTCTTGTCCTACAAAATTGGCTGGCTACATTGTAAAATGATCGTTCAGGGATTCATCTTAAGCCTGACGATATCGTGAATAGAATGGTAAAGAATTCACACTGGCCAGAATATAAAGGAAGATTGAGACTTGAAGACTTATCAACTAAAAACAGTTAAAGAAGAGGTAAATGGTAAAGGCATTCAGTAGTCTTAGGGAACAACACAAACGAATTAGACTCAACAAGGACGTCATTTTCACTTTATAGTTAAGGTACCGAGCTTACACGTTATTACCATCGTCTCCGTTTGTCACTCTCCGCTGGACAAGAGTCTACAAAGGCGATGCGAAACATTCGTTCTTCTATTGTTAAAAAGTGCGTTTATTAAGTTAAAATATCGTTAGTAGGACGCCAACAACGTTGCATTTGTTAGAAATGTTATCAACGTATTCAGTGAGTAAATGATTACTACTGGTGCGGGTGGCAGGTCAAACAATTCAGCACGTAAGTTTATTTTTAAGTGACATCAAAAGTGAAGCGCCTTAGATGATGCACAATTTTGCGCATTCGAGGAGCAGAACTATACAAGATAACCATTGTTTTAGTCTTCCTAACTTCTCAGCCGAGAGGTAAAACCCGTGCTTAGAATGTTATTTAATTGGTTATTTTCTCTGCCTAACAGAATAGAAGAGTTTGCTTAAGATTTCTCGTCAGAAAGGAATAACAGCTAGATATTAGACGAAAGCAGACCCCATTAGTTGAGCCAGATAAAACAAAAATGTAAGGACACAACGAAGAAAATAAGTTACGGCGATGTGTTCGAGTTTTAACGTTTTCAACTTCTTTGTGTTGGAAAGAGTAAAAACACAACCAGCAAACCTCACAATTAACAGCTTTTAAATTCATAATCTAGCAACCCATGTTAACTCTATCTCTGCCCCCTTTAATGCTCAAGCACCCCTAAAAAAAGAAGAAAAAAACCCTTTGAAGCATAAAGTGTGCCGGAACAAGAGCCCCCCAAACAGATGCCAATTTGCGCGCGCATCGATTATGGGTTGCTTACCCGCGTCCTCATTTGACCCGCCATCACCGCTGACTCGCACAGAAGGAACGCGCGTACCGTCTGGCTGGTCAGCTGTATCCGACTCCTCCGATGATGTCGCACCCTCTGTTGCACCCTCCTTTTTCCGTTTAACGACCACGGGTTTCGTGTAATCGGAGAGTACCGAGCCGTGCCGATGTACTTTCTGGCTGTCCTGCCGTTTCCGATGACTGGGTCGTCGTTTCACCGAGCTGTTGACCTGCTGCGTGAGAGCTTCGCACTGAAGACGCAGTTCATCGTTCTCGTCTCGAAGTTCCTAAGAGAAGAATGGATAAAAAAACGTGAGTGTTGATGAATTTAGCTCCTTATGCTAGTAACGTCATAATGACAACGTAAAAATATCGAAGAAACAAATCGATGAAGCCAGATGGCTGTTTACAGGCTGCAACAGAGTAGTTTAACCCTTTCACTACCGAGATCTCTTACGTAATTCTCCTTACTGCCTGCCATACAATTCTTACGATGTCAGTTCGGAGAATTTGGCATTGGATCAACTAATAATCCCTAATTGATATTTATTTTTCTTAATTCTCATCACTTGTCTGCTTGATATTCTATAGATATTGTAAGGAGAAATTCTGTCTTGGTCGCTCAAGGTTAGGAGTTAAGGAGTTAAAGATAGACAACTCTAGGTGAGAAGCAGTAAGAATAATGTAAGCCTAACACCTCCTGCCCGTCGTCAAGTGCATGATAGGCACCATAGCCTCGATCATTTTCCTCTCATTACCAAAAGGAAACAAGTAAAGCCCACGATGGATTCCATGAAACTGACAAGTCCAAAATGGTACGGTGTCAAATTGCTTCGAAATAAAGGCCTTAGTGCAGGCGTATTTGATGACGAACACTTAACCAGAATCATATCATGTTTTCCCAGTAGCGTAAAAACTTTTCGTATTTGACTCGTAACACGAAAGCAACGAGAGGCCAAAGCGCGCCACAGCAATTACGTTTCTATATCACGCTGCCGACGGCGGCTCAAAACGTTCGTGACAATCGTACCTAGTCGCCATGCTTTTTTTAGTCAGTAACGAGCCAAACTCACCCTATTTATACGTTCCAGTTCCCTCACGGTTTTGCTGTTTTTCTGATTCTGCTGCTGTTTTAGAAGCTGTTGCTTCTCGACTTCAGCCAGCTGAAGAGAAATCAATAAACAAATATTAAGAGTCATAAGTTACTAGAACGCAACGAAAAGAACGACCTGAAATCTTCAGTTACCCTGTGTGATAAATCAGACATGGATTCCAATTCCTTCTCCAGTCTCTCTCGGTTGTTTTCTGACTCGTTGAGTTTTTCCTGAGCATCCGATAGTGTCTTCTCTAGTCGCAAAATCTCCTGTTTAAGATACATAAACATAAAAATTCAAGGATCAAGATGAAACATCAATATAAAAGAAATAAGCTATAAACAGCTTGAAGTTCACGCAGGTACTTGCGTGCCACAAAACAATGGACTCTTTGCATTTTTAAAACAAAAGCATTAATATTCAGAACCACTAATCGTTAGGATAATTAATGTTATACAGTTTATAGACACTTCTGGCCCCCAGCGCGGGAAAACGCCTGCGGCCAAGAGTGGATCGTCTCTGCTTTAGCATCTGATAAATTGCGATGGCGCGCGGGAAAACGCGTGCGACCATGAGGCGATGGCATATAGTGATGTTTTCTTCAAGTTGAGAAGATAGCATGCCTAATAATCTTAGTAACATTAAACCAAATTCATTTTCATTAGATTCGACAACTGAACTTTTTTAAAATCTCGATATAGGCTGTGTTGTCCTTCCCTTGAGCGAAGGATACGTTAGATAAATATAAATGCTTGAAACAAAACAAAACAAAACAAAACAAAACAAAACAAAAAAAATCTCACCTCCTCGGCCTCAGCGAGTTTAGTCCTCAATCGCTGTTCTTCACTCTTTGTATGATGAAGTGACTCCTCCAACATAGACTTTTGTTGATTTGCATTCATTACAACTTTATCGCGTTCCTCTGTTAACGTTTGTTGTAAGTTCTGCATTTTTTCTGTGTAGTGTGATTCTTGATCCCTGGAAGGGTAAATGCGGGAAAACTTATTTATCACACTGTTAAATCCCTTGGGTATACACCCCACCAACCTCCAAAAGATAGTGTAGTTATTAACTCCTATTTAAAGGCAAAGATGGCCGCACATCAAATCTTTCAAATACGCGTTCAATGTATGCATGTATGTACTCGGAAAACTTAGGAATCAAGTTTACCACCACATTAGCGAAGAAAAACTCAGCAGACAGTTATTTGAATTTGAGTTCACCGTCATCCCCTTAAAATTTGATAAACAATTTCCCCCTCAGAGGAGCTGCACGGTATTTGGTATAATCTACAATATGCTGATTTATCAAGTAAAACCTCAAAGATAAATGTCTATGTCACCACAAGTTTGCTGAACTATGTCCTTAAGTTGTGAGGAGTTGCATTTCATCACTCCTGAGAGTCAACAGGGTTACCACACACATTGTTCAAATATTCTTCTCTGAAGTTCTTAACTGAATAACGGCTAAATACCGCGGAGATTCTTTCTTCCATACTAAGCTCATTTTTTAGCGGGTTTGTCAACAGGTGGCAAGAACTAGTTTGTTAACGACCCCAGTCCACAATCTCCCTTTAATTCCGGACTACTTCAGGAAACTCCTTAAGATCTGACTGACTCTTACAAAGCCATTGTGTTCATGTACAGTTTCTGAATGCTGACAATATCAATATTATTACTTGTGGTGCAGAAGGATAAGAAAATCAGAAGCTAAGAGATGAAAATGTGATTCAAAACAAAACAGCAAATTAAATAAATTAAGGAAGTGATTGAGAGAATTGAAATTTAAGATTGGAACGAAACCGCAGTTCAAACACCCAATGTCCTCTGTGACAAACAGGCTTCTTTCGCGGAAGATAAACCTAAAAGCAATTGCTTTCACTCTTTCAAATACTCACCTCATCTTTGTTTCGTGTAGTTTCTCTAATTTCTGAGCCGTGTCCTCGCTTTCGACAATAAGCATTTCTTTCTCTTCCGTGAATTTGACCAAAGTCTCCTTGAGGGCATCGCGTTCGGCGGCGACCGACTCCACTTGAGATCTGAAAAGAAAAATTTCTTATTTGACGATTTTGCAGTTAAGTGTTCTGAAAAAAATATATCAAAATTTTTAACGGGAGGTGCAAACAATATTTACGACATTCTGATTTTTTCCTACACCATAGACAAAGCAAACCAGGAGAGCCGTTGCTCGAGTATAAAAGGGATCTCCCGCATTACCGTTTACCCAACAATATTACTTAGCCCCGCTTCACATAAGGCGCAATCAAATTCCGCCATAATTTTTTAATTACACAAAAAAAACGCAAATAAGCAGATGTAAACGCGGAGAAAAAATAAATCTAGGCACAAAGTAATTCCACCTCAGTAAAGAAAAAGCAAGTTATAATTGATTTTCTCCCGAGAGTAATTAACAGAACATTCAAAACGGAATCGTTGTCATAAAACTGTCAGAATCTCATCAAAAAATATTACTTTTAAAAGCTTAGTAATTGTGAATTAAGAAGCAGCAAACAGGAACAGGTTGGAATTTTGACAACACGAGATTTGTACCTTGATAGCCGTGAAATGAAATCAGACAGCCGTTTGCTTTTGTCCTTCTCTGACAAAAACGTTTCTGACTCAGCCTCATATTGCAGAGCCGATTCCTTTCCTTCGATTTGTCTTATTCCAAGCGAGGAATTCGCCATTCGTGCTACGAATTTACAGGCCTCTACGGGTCAAGTATCGCCATTATTAACTACCTACAATTCTAACGAGCTAACAACGCGACAGCAAAAACAAAACTGAGAAGTAAAGCATATGCGAAATCGTCTTACACAACAGAAAGGGGATGGACAGTGTTTCCATTTGAGATCATTGCGCTTTCAAATAACTACACCCTTGAAAAACCCGCCAGAAGTGGGGGCGCGGACGGAATATGAACCAATCACAACACGGGAATTTATCAAAGCCTCCCCACCCGAGCGCTTTTGGCAAGTAAACAAACTAGTACCTGTTCCAAAAAACAGAAATGACGCAATTATACGCCCAAAAAGAAATATGGGTCGCCTCTTCCACCTTATTAAACAAAAAGACCTTGCCGGCAAGAGTAAACAAATTCATTTAAATTTTAACATTTCCTCAATATTCTTTCGCGCATCAAGAAACGCAACATGGGTATATAAGCCAGTTATCAACGGGCAATAAATGGATTATTTCTGGCTTGCAGGAAACTTTGCGTCACTTTATGAGTTGAGATCATACTGAATGATACGAGAACACGACGCGGCCCTAAACTCAAGTTACACAGATGATTTCAAGCGAAATCCAAATCAAGCAAAGGTTTTGGCTGAGCTCGGATATTCTTCACTGTTCTTCAGTTTGTTATCGCGAGTTCTTGGAGGACAATGCTCGAGAACGACACGAAAATATCTGACAAGGTACGATGGGCTTTTTCCTTTGTATACACACGAAGCACTGTAGTTATCTATAACAAACCCAATGTTTTCAAATTTGGAAACAAGCATTCGTTGCAAGTCGCGCATTGTCGCCCAAAGTAAAGTTAAAGATTTTGAACAATCCCTCATCCTTGGAGCTGGCACAATTCAGATTCCAACTTACTTTAAATGGACTACTTCGTGTTTGTAGATATTCACTATAGCTTTGGGTACGCCTGGAATGCAACAAAACAAAGCAAACAAGTTTAGTGTCCCTAAATTTTACATAATTTAATTGACTTGAGCCTTTTTTAATTCAGGAGAAGACTATTTGTCAGTGATCATGTCACGCTATTCCACTCACCATCGCTCTGCTCGTCCACGACAGATTCCAGTAAGTTTGTAAGCTGATGAAGGCTAACTTTCCCCTCCGCATCTGCATCTAAATCCTGTAAATAGACAAATCAAGGTTAACATTTTGGCCCAAAAATAATCCATTGGTGGTATATTCCTTGGCTAAAATATCATACAGTAATGTAGAGACGAGGTGACATTTTGTACAAATAAAATACTAAACAAGATCTTCGCACCTTAAGTAGGGTACAAAACCTTATTAAAAGTATGATAGAGCAGTTTTTAACTGTGTCGAACATAATCCGAGATTAATTTGGTTTTTTCTTTACTTCACTATGTGATTGGTCCAGAAAACTCGCGCCAGTTTCTCAACCAATCAGTTTCAAACCGATAGCCAATCGCGACTTGATTACTCGCCTTTTCCCGCGCTTTAGGATGTTTGCTTGTTTTCACTTCGAGTGATAGCTTCGGTTTCGGTTTTTAACGACTCAATCAAAAAGCGCTGACAGTAGACGGTACCTGTAACAGTGGAATTGCCTCGTTCAATCCCTGAGCCAGCCAGAAATCGTTGATGTCTTCTTTCTTAGCAAAACTAAAAAGTAAGGATGTACAGTTATTTAAACAGTTGAAGAGCCCATAACAGAAGAAATCAAACCATGCACCGTATCACAAAATTTTAATAAAAATTTGACAGAAGTGTAACCGTTCGTAATCCATTAACATTTAGCTATTGCTTACCCCGTTCTTTCTGGATCCAGCAGCGAAAACAGATCTGCAAGAAGCAACACAAACAGGGATTAGTCAAAAAAAGGAAAGAAAAATAGCATGTCTTCTGCCCATCAAGACTTCAGAATTTATGGGGTTACGTGGTTCAATGCACCAAATACAGTTAGTAACAGAGCGCTCTTGTATTTCAGACAGTAAAGTGTATCATTATACTTTGCACCACGGCTTGTTAATACACCACCCCCCCTCCCCCTAAAAAGAAAAACAAATACAAATATTTGCATGCACAGTGACCCATTTTCATTTCTTTTCTCGTAACTGTGGTCAATTTATGTGCTTATCGCTACTTCCTGTGGGCACAGTCCAACCAACCTCTCACCACCTGCCATCTTAGAGATAGAGGGGAATGGCTCATGTACATGTAGAGGGCTGACTGTTACTGGTGAGTGGGGGGAGGGAGGAAGGGTATTGTAGGAGGCAGTTTGATACCAAATTTTTCAAAGGGTACAAAAATTTTCCTTACAAAAATACTTTTGGTTCAAATACAAAAGAAAAAAAAACAAAAACCTTAATAAATTTTGAAATAACAAAAATATAAAGAAACCGAAAATTGATGGCCAATTATCAAAAGAAAAGGTAATGAATAAAACGTTTGCTTTAAGTACTGAAGACACCTTATTTCCTCTTTCACAAAATAAACCTGGCAGCTTATCCTCTTAGGTGTTTTCAGGTGATTCTCACGTATTTTGCTACTCCTCTGTCAGTCAGAGACTTGTCATGGCCAAGAGGTCATTTTGATTGTTTGGAAAATGCTTTAGCAGTCATTGCCATGCAGGAGACTGAATTGACCTTTTTTGAGGGTCAGCAAAAAGTGGCCAAAATGGGGAGGTAGTTTTTATGGAAGCCTGAGAAATGCAATGATTGTAAGGTTCAAAAGAGTTTACTGGGAATAGCCCAAGGAGAAATCCCTGAAAATGGAATACATGTCCACTGTAGACACAAATCAATCACGCCGGCAAACCTGATTACATGACAAAAACACTGCGATGAGATTGAAAAGCCTTACCAAATGTTGAACTACTTCCTCCAGTTCTGGAGAGAAAAAATGAATCATCATTGTTCAAGGACCTCTGGCCCTGCAAGGAAAAAAATTCACCTCAGTCAACCTTGCCAGTTTATTGCTATTGCTATTCTCCATTCACATAAAAAAAAAAAAACAACACAAAAATGCAATCCTACATCTCAATTCCAAAAAATTCCTGCAAACACTGTAGTTCCTTACTTTAGTAGTAAAATCTTCGGCTGGTGCTCGATTATATGGCGTGGACTGTTGTTTTTGTTCCCATTCAGGCTCTATGTCAGACTGTTGAATGTCTTTAGCCACAAACAAGCCATGAAGAAACTCGTCGAAACTCACTTGACCATCACCGTCATCATCCAGCTCCTCAAACAGGAGAGCCAGCTCCTGAAATGGAAACCAAATGCGGGCTAGGAATAGGTTTGTCATTTTCAACAGGGAAAGGGAATAGTGCAACTTATGTGTATATGTCATTTAAAAGGCAATAAATTTGGAAATAGACTTGAAACAACCACTAGTTCTCTGATAGACGGTTGCTTCCTCATGTGATGATTTGTTTTTTCTTTTCAAAATGGTGTCAAATGAATTCCCCCTCATCTCTCACAAAGATGAGATCTATTTATTTTGTCATCTAAGGTTACTACTGCAAGACAGTCTCTTAACACAGTAGTAAGTGCCTTAAGGTAAAAAAACAAGTGCAGCAGTACCCAACACCATATCACAATTCATCTTTTAAGAAAGTTTTAAAAGATCTGCACTGAAGTTGCAGAGCCATACTTGGGATTATTAAATGGTTCCACAAACCTGTTCATTCATGGAGTCCATGCCAATGTGATCGCATACCACAGACAATTCATGTCTATCCAGGTAACCATTTGCACCAACATTCACTTCAGTCCAGATTGCTCTCAGCTGCTCTTCTTCGGTTGGTGATTCATACCCTAAGAAATGATAATATTCCTATTCCTCATCATAATCTCAAGTAAGTTCCCTGTTTTTCTTTCTCCCCTTTCCCACTTTATAAGCCTCTCCCTTTCAAATGGTCAAAGTGCTGAAGCCCCATCTCTTTCTGATAAGCCCCATTATCATAGGGGGGAATTGGCATTATTTGATTATTCACATCACCATTTCAAAAATGTAAAAATCATTTTCTTTTAATGATAACATCTTGATTGAACATCGCAGTAACTTAATGCTGACATTTATTTGGTAAAAGGCTTGATCAGTTCCAACTGCCACAATGTTTTTCCAAAGATTAGTGTAAACTTGTAAGTATACACATTGTGCACATAAATAATACAACATACAGCATAATTATAATATTCAAACATGGTGATTTCAAAAGATAGGGGGCTCACAAATTAAATCTTCAAGAGCAAAATCAAATTGAAATGTTTTCTTTTAAATGTTTAATTCAAAGTTAAATTACCTGAATTAGGCTGTGGAGAACTTAAAAGTCCATTACCCTCCAACACATCAGAGTCACTGGCCAAGATAGAGTCCTCACGAGACTTCCTCTGTTTGGAATTATGTCGACGTATGCTGTTCCTCAGACTGCTTTTTCTGCTTGATAGTCTTCTTTTTAACCTTGGTTTCTCCTGTATGGAAAAAAAGCGTGAAACATAATTACATATGAAATGTACAATGTACTGAGTGTTGCACCCCTGGTTTCCGATAAACTAAGACCAATAATTTGCTTTTCAGTTTTTTTTGTGATCTATTGTAAAACTTCAAACTTACAGTTGTTTTTCAGTGAAGTAAACTCTAGTTATGATCTCTACATGTATATGGCTGGGATAAATGTGTTTCTTCATTTTTCTTTTTTGGCTTTTACAGTTGGTGGGACCTGCAGGAGAAACTCTCTCAAAATAAGGGTACATTGTATCTATCAGTCTTTTTGCTAATGAGGAAATTTCCGTTGATTTTTTGTACTCCTGAGTTCATAGCTTTCCTGTAAACATTTTCCCAACTGATTTATTGTTCTCTCTGAGCAGAAGAGATTGTACTAGTTTATGCAAATGATATGAATACAAGTATGTTCTCACCTCTCTTGTTGCGCTTTCAACACGATCTGGCTCTGAAGTAATGTGAGCATCACTCATACGGCTCTCTGGTCGACTCTCAATCATGCTCTCATCATCTGCAGAGTACAGATCTTCAGAGTAAGATGCCTCTGGTCGTGACCATCTTCCATAACGTTTCTCATTCACCACTAGCTTGGGTGGTTCTGAAATAAATTATAATACAAATTGATGTTTTTGGTAGTTACACTGTACTTGTTTGGAAAAAGGTGCATTAAAAAGCTCTTGAAGAGAGGAAAACCACTGTAAAAAAAATAAACACCTGTAACAGAATCAGATGGTTGTTCTTCATCCTCACTAGAGGATAACTGTTCAATTGCTTGAGAAAGCACAGCTACAAATCCTTCCTTGAAGTCATCGAATGTAACCTAAAAAATGACAACAGTATGAAGTTCAATACAGTTTATGCATTTTGCTAACAGTTAACAGACCAAAACTGACAAAAATTGCACTACAGCTTGGGATGTACATGCAGCCTGGGTTACTTCATGAATTTGCTTTCTGTGACAAACAAATAAGCAAAAATATTGTGACCAAAATTCACACGACTTGCATCAAATACTGCATTACACACTAAATGTATGTAGGTTACACAGAATGGGTTTCACAAGACAACCAGACATAAATTAATATCAGAATAACTCAAAAGAGTTTATGGAAGAGTGAATAAACTACAAATGTATTAAATTTGGAGGAAAAAAATAAAGAAAGAAAAATTGTACTATATTCTAAATTGAAGATGTTTAGGTTCACTGTGCATAAACCTACTTCAAGTTTTCTGCCATCAACAGTGACCTCTTTAGTTCGATAATCACAAACTAGTTCTTTCATGATGACGGCCAACAGAGGAAAAAGTAAATTTTCAAAAAGTTTTCAGCAAAAAAGCTTCCAAGCTCTGAAGTTGAACCTGTGGTGAAAAATCTAATCCTCACCAACAAAACAACCCAGGAAAAAAGGGCACACAAATGATGTCACAGTACAGGTGCTTTGAAGCCATTTAATATTCATCACACAATCTTTGCAACTGTACATAAAAACAGAAAGGAGAAAACACCAAAAGATCTCAACAGAGGATGCACATCAAATTCTGTTTTGTCACCAACCCTCTAAATTAAAGTTATCCACAGTTCAAATTGTGAATCCGAGTCTAAAAGCTTTTTTTTCTGCTTCAATAGCATTTCAATACAAACACCAACCCACTAACACAAGCTAAGCCACAAGCTGTTCTGAAGCAGCACACTTGTGTCACCTGTTGAATGTGACAATAGTCCTGGTTTGAACTAAGAGAAATCTCTCTTCACAATCATAACACCAGTTTTACAGACATTCACCTAGTCATTGTTTAACATCATCCTTATTCGATTTGGTTTCCAGCAGAAAGATGCCAGGATTTATGAGCTGGCCAAATGACACTTTGATGCTTTTATTAAACTGCCAAAATTTTTCTATCTTTGAGTTAATCTTGAAAGAAGCTGTAGATTATGTTTTTCATTAAAAGCACAGGTATATCATGACTTGTTTCCATCATTTGGTTACAAGCAAAGGTTGGATGAATCTTAATACAATATTTCCTTGAGAAAATAAAACAGCTGATTCTGATTTTTTTCTGATTTTCAAACCCTGACTGAAAATGTAAGAAGCATACTCTCAGTGCTCGCAAAACACATCCATTGCTAGGGACAATTAGAAAAAAGGCTTTGAATTACCCTCAACAGTATCAACAGGGTTACCATTTCTAATTGCCAAAGTCATTCAAGGCTCACTACTGGAAATCTCCTGGCAGTTTGCCCAGTTTAAATTCAAGACCAAGATATTTTATTGAACAGGTTGAAATTCAAACATTAAAAATATCAAGAAACAAAACAGATGGATTTGTATTCTAGGTTACAGTGTTCCACTATTCCAGAGTTAGATCTTCAAACATATCTTGGGCCCCATAAGAGACCAGAACTTACTTTGCTTTACATATTGACTGTAGATCTGAAATTTTAATTTCTTGTAAATGACATGCTTGGTTATAAATTTTCTTTTTTATCTTCAAGTTGGTAAAAAAGAGGTATAAAAGAAAATTAGTTTTAAAGTATTAAACTAAAGCAAACATATTGCATTACTGTACAGAAGATGTTCATTTGTAAATATGTGTGTTTACATATATTGATAAATATAAACCCCTTTTAAAAAATGCTGCAATGGAAAATAACTTATATGAAATATGTGCACCTTTTGTTTTGTCATTAAAAAATGTCTTGTTTTGATGAGAAAAAAAGGTAAATGTATATTTCATGTACATTTTCAAATTGCAATGTTTTTGAAATTTCACTCCTAAGTTTGTTCCATACACAATACAACACACTATAACCATTCCTAGTTTTTTTTTTAGTCAAACTGATAATTAAGGTGGGTTTGCAATGCTACAACTCACAACTAATGCACTTTCAAATAAACAGAATTTATATAATAATTCATGGGTGGAGTACTTGAACTATTTTGAAACTCCCAATTTATTAATAAAAAATAAGACCCCATCTCTGTGCAATTTTTAGCCTTTCCTCTGCTCTTCATTCCAAGTATTTCTCACAATAAGTTGAAAAGATATGAATTGTGAAACAGTGTAAATAATTGTAATGCAAGAAAGTAAGTTAAAAATTGGGAGAAACAAGTATCTGAACAAGGCTAGAATTGAGGAAAGACTTCAACAGCTGTTTCAGTGTGAATAGGATGGTACAAGGTATCAAGGCTTAAAAGAAGTATTAATCAACAGACAGTATGACATTTCAAATGAGAAAGGGATTTCACATTTGTATCAGCTCCTAGGAGAAGAGCAGTTAAATGTCCTCTTTGAAATTGGTATACTGATTGCGTATTGGAATACATGTATTTTCTTTACATTCTCTGACAATAGCGTAGATAGGCAAAAGCTTGAAATAAAAAAAAAAAAAATAGAAGCACATTGGCTCAAGGCCTAAATCGAATGGTCCATGGATTGCAGTATTTAGGAAAACTGCTGAGGAGCTTTCTATGGTCTGAACTGTTAGTATCTGTGTAAATATTGAAGCCCTTACTGAGAACCTGCCCTTGGTGTAGAAAAAGGTATCTTGTTGACAGAGGTAAGTACATGTACACATACATAGCACATGTACATAGAGAGAAGTAAAATAGAATTGGTTGATCACTGTCTAATACTCAACCATCAGTCTACAGAATCTCTGTCCTCATTTCAATCAACTGTTGATGGCATCATGAGATAGTTTGATGTTGTCGACTGGGTTGATAACACTAATTGTCCACTGCAAAGAGTTCCTAATGCTTTCGTTTTGAGGGTTAACTCTTAATCAGGGAGAAAGTGTTAGTCAGGTACTGACTGAGATTCAGTTGACTTTCAAGTGATCAAGAACCCATTGACAGCCAAAATAAAGTAGGATATCCTCACCCTTTCAATCCCAAAATCTCATTGGTAATTCTCCCTACTGTCTACTGTACAATTCTTATGATGTTGGTTCTGAGAATTTGGTATTCATTCAGCTAATAATTCCCTTACTTATATTTTTCTGTATTTTCATCATATCACTCATCTGCTTGATATTGCATTGATATTGTGAGATGAAAGTCTGTATTAGTCACTCATGGGAGTTAAGTGTTACACATGCAGCTTTTCTAATAATACTGGAACATTTCTCCTCAAATGAGTGACTTGATCAGGAAAACCTCAAGGGTGTTTTGCTGATATCTAATAGTTCCTGTACCAAGTTGATCATCATTTCAGAAGATTCTTAGGGTTAACATGAAGGAGATGAGCAACCTACAGTTTATTTAGAACCCAAAATTTACAATTAGAAGATCTGTATAACATTTGAAACGTGTGGTTCACTATCTCTGCAATTTCTATCCTTCAACCATGTTTTCAAAATACATGTTTTAGCTGATATTGCTCTCAGGGTAATATCACTTTCATCTGATTACAGTAGGTCACAGTATACAATTCCACTTCTGAAACCCTAACCATTGCTATACATGTAAATGGTAACTAAAATGCTATGACAGATACCTCTAGTTCTTGACATAGAAAATGTTCCTGGAGAACACATAAAAAAATCAAAGTGTTATCACACAGATTTTGTGCATTGTCTAATTGCCTATGCAAATGTGTTGATGTTCAATTGAGTCAACAAACAAAACACTTCAGCTAATATGCTAATTTAAGTGTAGGCGAAGAAGTTCAAGGGTTTATTGCTTGATCTCTGAGACTATTGCTAAGGAAACTGTAGCTTTATGACGAACTTTGTGTTTCTGCAATCTTTATGCTCTGCTGGAAATCTTGATGTACAACCCTTTAGTTCTGAAGAATTCTATTTCCTGAGCTGAAAGATTTTGCATCTTAGGAAAAGATTAGGAACTTTGCAATAAGCCAATAATTAGATGGTGAACAAAACCCTCATAACATTGATTCATTACTCAGGAATTTCTCATTTCAAACAAGTGTAACAAGTCTTTGAAAAGCTGACAATCATAATCAAGACAGAAAATCAGCAATGTAATGTGCAGTGAAAATTTTAGTATAATTCATACACAGGAAATGACTGACAGGAAATACACTAGCCATAAAAAAAATATCCAATAGAGAAAATATCATCATTTGTGAAATAACTTGTGTCAGTCTATCTGGTCATTCTTTCACCTAAATCATGAATTACTGTAAATGAAACATTCACTTTGTATGCCTTTTAAGACTACACTGATCACATAAGCCCCAAGAAATAACCCTCTAAAAGAAACACATTTGGTGTCAATCATAACAATTACTTTAACGAATTTTCACGACAAACATGCTTTTGTGTTGATCTAGTTTGGTGATAAAAGAAAATCCGTCAATATTGTTAACAACTGAACTGACGGAATGTTCGAACTCGATATGGAATATTGGATGTTGGCATTAAAATTTATATCCCAGCATCATTAGTTTCAAAAGAGGTTCAGTGCGTAAACAAACCTATTGTAGTGCGGTTACGAGACGCCATAAACAAACTGATTTAGCTGATATTTTAATATATTTACGAGTCAAGAAAGGAAGAATGTTGAACAACATTTGCCCCGAAAGAAAGCAGAATACTCCAATTACCGGGAGATATAAACTTACCGTAATCGATGAGCTTGGAATCGACTGGTAACAAATTAAACTTAGGGCCAAGCCCGCGCCGATGGTTATGAATCACCAGCAATCATTTATTACCTTGGTGTCGTTCGAAGCTTATCAACGAAGATACGAGAAATTTTTCTCCATACCTGTCCCTCCGCCTCGACGCTCCCCAATAACTGCTGGAGTAGTTGCGGAACTTGGTCATCAAGCTGCAGTTTTTTGCACAACTCCACAAGTTCGTTCCTATTCAAAAAGCCCTTTCGAGCATGGTCACAACTATCAAATACTTCATGAAGTTGTGCCACATAAACATCCTGTTCGTCCTCATCCATTTTAAAGTTTAAATAAATATATCAGCTAAATGAAATCCTAGCCCAGGATGCCAGAGCCATGTTGACAGGAAAATAATAAAAGTTTAATTCCTATTTCGTCGATGATTACGCCACGCCAAAATAAAAAGCTTTCGAACGTTTCACGGCAAGCGATGGGTTTGTGGTTCTTTAAATTCAGGTCTGACTCAACCTCTCAGCAGAACAAAACAACGTCATGGCCTAATTTCCACTGAATAGTTGTCGGCTTTCCTTGACTTGTATCAATACAACGGTGTGTTCCCAATACAATCAATCCTCTCAGTTTACTCTACAACTCTTGAGCACCAAACAACATCAAGTCGTGTTAAATTATCGCTCGGTAACGTAGTAACGCGGGAATTCTAATCGCTATTTTCGGTGACGGTCGCCTCGGTGAAGACCAAACTTCACTACAAATCGCCGAATAACAAAAGCGTTAACCTTAAAAAATGTAAGTATGAGCTAAAATTTGAGCCGAAGTTACCATAACCTGCGAGAATGATTCCTTGATTCAGTTCGTCTTTCGTTACTGTTCGGTCCAATTTTCAAACTTGGCCAAAAATAGAATTTGAGTTTGACCACGTGAACACAAAGGAATCTTCCATTTCATTGGACAGAATACAAAAGGATTCCACCAACTGGTCGTGTAGGTAACCAATCAAATCTTTTATTCATGTTTGTTCAGTTTCAACGACTGCGTGTTTGCTTCCACATTTTTTGAATTTCTAGATTTTCCTTAAACTTTCTATGATCCATATCTCAACGTGGAGCCACAAAAAGGTTCAAGAAATACCTCACTTCTAATTCAAATATTCTAGAACTCTTTAAATAGGATTTTAATTAAATTTTAACTAAATTCGTCCACAATAATCAGTTAACAGTTTTCCTTTACATTATTAAGCTGATACGCTCGATTTGTCATCTTTTAAAACACAATTTTTAAAAATCAAATGATTGAAATTTTTTTGGTCAAACAAAGCTGGACCCAGTATTCTCTCGGATTTACATGATAAGTCAAACTTGGTTTTGGATTTTCCTTCACAATGCTATGTTTGCGTTCCGTGGTTTTATCTCAGTGTAAGGAAAACCTTAGCGTAAAATAACACACCTAATCAAGAAACCATCCTAACCCTGAGTAAGATTAGTCGTGTCTCTGGCAACTCGGTCAAGAGATCTGGGTAGGCATTATGAGCGAAATATTTCGCTTAAGCTTCAGGAGAATTCCAATGGGGGCTGGGTTGGATACAGCCACACCTGACTTAAAATTCACTTCCTTTCCCAGTTAGAATTTTAGGATTTGAACTAACTCAGCCTCTCTTGAGCAAGACGATAAACTTAACAATAGTCCCGTACCCAATTACAACTCAGGAGCACAAAAAAATTCTTCAAAATACATTTTGATTTGTGTATTTGGTTGGGCTCATATAGAGTTCAACGTCCGAATCGAAGCCGCTCCAGATCGATATCTAAATTTCTAGAGGGAATAACGACTGAGCTATTCTAAATCAAAGATGCATGCCTTTCTTATTAGATTCAGACGCCGAACGTTTCATGTACTCAGTTTTAGGAGTTCTAGGTATAGTATAAGTTTGACTCGCTCATCTCATGAAAAATTTAGAAGCCTTCGAACAGAGAGTTGATGTAAATACTGCTGGATATTGATTGAGATGGCCGACCAAAAGAAAACGAGGCGATCGAAAATTGAAGGCGATGGGAAAAGGGTTGAAGAGGCTCCGAGTCCAACACGACTATCAGTCTTTCCTTACCCATTTTAGTTCTCGTCTCCTCTGACCGGGAGCTTGGGGAGAGCCAGAAAAAAGCACGCTAGGGGAGGGTGTGGATCGATCGTGTTATGCACACTTGAAGCATATCTTTGAAATTTTAATGAATAACCATTTGATTTCTTGACAGCATGAAATATATTTACAGAATGTAGAGATATTCATTAGCGTTTTCAAACATGTTTGTACATTTCAAGAATTATTTTAAAGTTGTCACTAAATTCAAAAATACAATTTAAGCTCTAGTCTAACAGGAACGAGTATGACAAAAATATTAATCCTGCCTAAAACTAGCAGTAAAGCGCGCGATTAAATACCTCATCAACCCTCTACACTCTAACATCAGTTTGTAAACTCTCCATACTGTACTTTTTACACTTCCCAAGGTGCCTACAAGGACAATTTGTTTAAAAATCAAGAACTTCTTTTGTTGGTGATTATTTCCTTTATTCTCACGACCTTAATATGAATTCAGGGGTGATATTGTAAGGAGAAATTAGAGGCTAGTTACTCACAGGGTTGAAACAAGTATATAAACTAATCAGCCAAGTAAAAACACAACTCCAATGGTTAACTTCCTCGACCTCTTCATTATTTGATTAAGCTAATTAGTCCAATGAATTAAAAAAATAACCCAAGTTTTCAGTTGTTAGCTGAACATCTCTGAGCTCCCTTCACTTGCACGATGCTTATCGTATTCGACTAGGAAAAGGGAACTGCAAGAAGTCTAGTCAATTTGTTATCAGGTACCTAAATATTGAATACCTTGCGATGGTGATCAGCGAAATTTTCCTCGCATATTTCAATGTTATCCATCTTTTAACAACGAGCTTCATATCATAGCATTTTTATGCCATTTCATTATTTCTAGTTTTACCCTATTTAATTATTTGATAATTCAATCATTGGCCTCGCTGTGGGAACGATACTGAAAACAGAATTGAAAACAATCACTGTGAACTTTTATCTGTGTTGTATATCACTACAGTGAGAAGCCGAAAACGTCTTCATAACAAGATTTGTTTCACTAAACTGAATACTAAAGATGGCGAGTTTTGAACTCGGTGGCGAAATGAAAAATGCTTTTTATCTTGTCACGAGCGCGAGACAAAGGAAAAGCTGTGAGACCGATGATCTAAGACTTGATTCTTTATGGTTATTCAGAATTTCTTCCTCGTGACAAGAAGAAAAACATTCTTCTTTTAGATTAGTGAAATGAAAAACCTTCTAAAGTGCTGTCTTTGCATGTATACCGAATCATAACTAACTGCTAGGAAATGTAAAAGTGCCAATACAAATTGGTAATTTCGGAAAATCTGAATAATAGAAACTTTAGAGAAAAGAGACCATCGACGTAGTGTCTGTTGTTCTTCACTTGGGTTTCGCATTATGTACCTTATTACTCAAAAATCATCTTAAAGTGCTCACCACACTTCAAAAAATTCTCATCCTCCGGCTGCTAACAGAACTAAGCCAAGGCTAGTTTCTGCATGACCTTTTACTCCTGTTACTGAAAGAATAGCTCTTTGCTTTCTTCACCACGAAATTGTGAATTCTTCAATGAACTGGAAAGCGTGCATTCTTAAGCGCTCACTGGAGGCACTGTAATTTAAGACCGAGCCTCTTTGATTTTTCCAACCAGCCACTATAAAAGAATGAAAAGGGAAAGAGTCACTTAAAAATCTATTTCTCTACTGATAAGTACAACTGAGGTGTTATAAGCGACCGAAAAAATTATATTCCACGACAGGAAGTTTTGGGTCATCCACTTCTTAAGGGTCGTACCTTTCTGTTTCTCGAGTTACTTCCACTCACATGTAAACGTTAAGGAGCTCAGGAGCCACTCCTTATTTATCGCCGGTGGGGAAAGGGGGAAGGGGGGGGTTTATAGGAAAATTTTACCATGACACATCCAAAATCCTCCGTCTTCCCCCTCCTCCCCCCTCTAATGATAAATAATGACCGATCCCTACTATCGAGTGAAAATAACATCAAATTTTACCTGAGCCACTTCTGGGCTGGGCGTAAAAATTTTCGTATCGTCTGACTGCCGTTTTAACATGCCTTTTGTTTTAGCTCTGACCTAAAAGAGAACGACAAGGAAAGAAAAAATGTCAAGTTCAGTATAAGTAAAAAACTGTGGCGCCCCACTCACAGAGTACTGCACAACGCCCTAACATCGGTTTTTTTCACTAATTTATTTTTTCCATTCGCGCGACGGACTTCGCCGAGAAGGAGGGTCTCCTTGTAGTCTACAACGGAAACCAATTTTGACTTGGTAATTCCTGTTTTCCTACGCTTAGGGCAATTTACAGGTTTTTATTTTTTTGAA